AAGGGAAAAAAAAAAAAAAAAAAAAAAAAACACATTTATCTAATAGCATTGATTTAAAGCTAACACAATTATCGATTTCTCTCTAGACTGATGATGACCTTTCTCAATCAGATTTTTCCAAGTTGTTTTTAAGACTCTTGAAATTGTGAAAATTTTAAGTTCTTATGGCATCTCCTACAATACTTATAATGAACAGGAATGTATTGTTGCATGTAATGGACTTGAGGCTCACTGCATTAGGGGAATTGGCAGCTGTTTGAGCAAGCTATTGGCACCAAATGCTCATTTGAGGATATCACTAACATTGAAAGGTTCTCTTACCATTTTGAAGCTATTGACTTAAGGTAAGCTAATGGACAACAAAGGGGCATAAAGGCTAAAGCCAGAAAAGTTTTATTTTATGTATAACAAAACATTAGTAATTCTCTGCAAAACCAATTGTATCTATGTCTCATGATACCATTGATTGATATAAGAATATGCTAGAGAGAGGTTACCAACAGAGGGGATAAAACTTGCCTCAAAGGTGTAAAATGAAAGAAAAATATAGAGGTTGATAAATTGAGCATATCAATATTGAAAGAATTGCTTAAGCACTTAACATATAATTTGACAGGAGAAAAGTAATCACATGTAGGAGGTTTACTTGGAATCTTTCAAAATGGGTCAGCAGAAGGTGCGCTCTTCTTAATTCTTATATTTTCTTGTGTGACATTGTTACTCCAGGGAGATACTTGAAAACTACACAGAATGGTCTTCCTATTTGAGAGTGTCTTTTTTTAATAGATTTTTTTTTTTGGAAAAGTTAATCATAAGCAAATTCTCCAAGTCCATTAAATGAGAAGCTTTAACCTATTTCTGATGTTATCGTATCTTACATTATGTCATTGTATCTTGCATTATTTTTATCACGTTGTCAAATTTTTATAGTACAAGCATACAGGTAAGGTGTTACTGTGATAGGATGTCATATGAGATAAGTTGGATCCGAAGGAGGAATTCACATACTTTAGTGGGGCAACATAAGTTGAGAACTACAACATAACAGATGTTGCATCATTTGAGAATACTAAATGCTCCTTTATACTTTTGTTGACTGAAACATCTTATGAGCAAATATATTTCATCCTAGATTTTTTAGCTTTTTCACCTTTTTTTTTGTTTTAGCTTTCTTTGAATTACAATTATAGAGGAGAGTCAAGAATATGTATGCAAATGTGTACCTTAGATTTTTTAGATTCATCATTTTGCTGCATTTACTTAGAAACAGTATTTGTATTTGTAATATACTTTGTGATATGCTGGTTGTTATTCAGGTTCGTTGAATATACTTTGGTGCTCATTTTGATCGATGCTAACATTTTATTGAAACCAATATTATGGTTTGAGTCACATAGCTGATATTTTTTTTGAGATTTAATTGTTGCAAAATATGAGCAAGTTCTGGACATAAGCGACCGCATCTTATTCTGTATTATGTAGTTAATACTATTGATTTTAATGCTTATACATAGGTTCTATAAATAAGATGTTAGACATATATTTTCAATACGTTATCTTTGATATTGTTGTAAAAAATATATTTACTAATATGAAGATTTAAGTAGTTTAATTCAAGTTCTAAATTATTTTTACTTTTAAAGAGTAGACAATCTTTTTTTCGTTCTTTTTTACAAAACTTTTGTACTTTTTTTTTTTTAAACTTTAATATTGTCTAATTTGAAATAAAATCATAACATCCTTTATTTAAAAAATTTGGGGCCTAAATCAAGCTGTTACTAGTTTCCTACTTGAGCCACATGTCCACTCCTGGCATTCTCAATCAAATTTTATAAGATACACTCATACACCATACATAGACTATAATTGTAGAAACTGCATAAAATCCCAAGCCACTGTCATAAAATTCACCAGGTATATCTTCAAATTTCACACTTGAAATTCCATGACAGTGACTATTTTCAATTACAAGGGCTGAAAATTGACTATTTGTGAATTTTATTCCTAAAATTTGTGCTGGAAAGTGTAATCTGCATATCTTTAAAAACTGCTAGAACATTAGAGCCCCATAAAAAAGCTTAATCTACGAAAAGCTTACATATTTAATTTAATTTGCATATTCTTGCCAGCTTTAGAGCCTATTTGGCCAAACTGCAAAAAACTACTTATTTTGAAAAGTGTTTTGTTCAAAAGTACTTTTTGAAAAAATACTTTTGCAAAATAGAAATTTGTGTTTAACCAATTCGTTTGAGTAGTGCTTTTTGCAAGCTCATTGTGTTTGGTCAATTTTTTAAAAAAACACTTTTAAATATCAAACTACAAAAAAGGACAGTAAAAATTCAATTGGCGATTATTATTATTTAGAAAAGAAAAATAAATTTAAACATTTATTATAAAATAATTCAATTAAAATCTAAATTAAAATTTTCAATCAATATAAAATATAGTAATTCCAAAGCAATAACATTAAGTGTTTGGTATTACTATTGTTGACACGATAATTTATATATGTCAAAATATATCATTCAATATAAATTTAAAATCTACTTTTAGGAATAAGGAAAGAGAATAAAAATATGATTAAAATAAAAAAGAGAAGAAATGTATAGTAGAAATAAAAAGAAAAAGGAAAAGAAAAAAGTTAAATTGTTGAGCGATAATTTGGAAAATATAAATTTATTGTAAGGTTATTTTAATCTGAACAAATTAATTTTCTGTTTCTATTTCTGCTTAAAAAAAACTAGAATTTGTAGCTTTCTCCTCAAAACCAGAAAAACTACTTTGGTTATTGCTCAAAAGTACTTTTTTATTTTGGCCACACACCTTTAATTTTCCAAAAAGTACTTTTAGACTCTCAAAAGCTTGGCCAAACATGCTCTTAGTACATGATAAGAGCTTAAATCTACAAAAAGCTTGCATATTCAATTAATCTCACAATCATGAAAACAACAGAACAAATCGCTAAGACCGTAGAGCATCACACTCGAGTTCAACATCCCTATAATCCTCAAAAACAAGGGCAAGTGCCTTAATACAATTTCAATCAAGTTTTCTTGCCTGACCGAGGCCCAACGCCCATGTAGTTTGTCACGAGACCCATAATTCCAAACCTGGATCAAGAAAAGAACAAAAAACATGATTAGACATTGGTGAGGAGAACAATTGAAACAGATAGCAGAAGAATCATTTTGCAATAGCACCTTTAGCTTGTTAGATACTCGCCGTTATCAATTTAATTGACCATGTTGCTATTTACACCATCCTCCTTCGACCATACTTTCTTTAACTATATTTTATGTGATGACTATTCCAAATCAAGTGTCAATGGTATTTTTCAGGCAGTAGCAATATCTATGCTTTTAGTTCAGAACAGTATTAGTCAACGTCCGATATAATACCCCAAAAATTTAAAGTTAGCCATAAAAACTAAACTGATAGTGATTCTGCTACAAAAAGAACGAAAGCCAGCAACCGACGTTTTAATTTATTTATTTGTTTTTGGTACAGCCAACAATAACTGATAATCAAAACTTCACAGAGGGTAATTACTTGGATGGCTAGGCTTAATGAA